ACGGGGCGAAGGCTGGGGCCGGCACTTGCAGGTCCTGGTAGAAAGAGAAACAGAAAGTGGCCGTGGCAGGACCAGAACTAGGATTGCCTTAGTCGCCCTCCTGACGCCCGGGCAGCATTCACCGCCTAGAACTTATTCTAGGCTGCCTTGGCCTGGGTACCTAAGCGAGGGAGTCGGCTGGGAGGTTCTGGGCCCTGTAGCCTGGGGGCTCCCAGAGGCCCCTGGAGGAAGAGCCCAGCCCAGGGTCCTGGTTGGACGTGGCCAGCAGCCTACTGCCCTCTCCGGCCTGTGCCCTGCCGGCTTGGCGACTCAGCTGTGGCTGGCCCTTTTGCCCACCTCACACAGACAGGAGTGCCAGGGCCCAAGTGCACTGGGCTGGGCCTCTGTCACTCACAAGCAGGCGCCCAGCCACGTGTGTGGTGTTTACAGCACACAGTGTCCTCAGAAGTCCTGGGAACTGTTGCCCAGCTCCCAGCCCACTAGGTTAGCCAAGGTGACTGGGTGTTCTGCCCACAGCGAGTCTGTCTAGGGTTCTCCCCTGCCTCCCTTCTGTGACCTCTACCCTCAAGGGGGAGGGAGAGGGGCACAGCTGTGGTTCTCTACCTGGGATTCACTTCTGTGTTCTGCCCCTCTGTCTGAATAGCTGTCTTAAGACTGGGGAGTGCAGTTGGCCCACTGGCCTTAGGACACCCTATGGATCTGGGCCCAAGTTGAGGCCATCATTCCTACAGAGTGTCCACCCCTCCCGGCAAGCTGCTTCCCAGTAGGCTTGGGCATGCCGAGAACCCATGGTGTGGCAGGTGCCCCCTTCTGCCCAGGAGGGCCCTTGGAGAACATGGCCCTCAGCTTTTCCTCCATGGCCCTCCTCTCCTTGATCACTCTGGCATTGACCTGGTCAGCACCCATGAGGCCCTGGGAGAGTGCTGGAGTACCTGCTCTTGGTCAAAGGGGGCCATAGTTTTGTCTTCCCAAAAGATGGGCCCACTGCTTTCAGTCTACTGCCCTTGGGCCTATGACCCCGAGCTGGCTGGTCTTTGTGCACCTGGCCCCCTGCTGGATCTGGCCAAGTGGGTAAAGGCTGAGCCTGGTAAGAGTTGATCCTCTGCCTTCTGCCCTCTCCTGGGCTGTGTGCCACGCCAGGCCAAGTGACTCATGGGGACAGGCAGTTGGAAAATACCAGGCAGAGTACAGGCCTCAGTCCCAGCTGGACAGCTCTTATTGTTTGCCATCGCCACAGTGGTAGCCTGCCTCCCTGTACCTGGGACAGGTGGGCCTAGCCCTATGGTGGGAAGCTTTCAGGATCAGTGGGGACCCACAGATGTTTATACCATGGGACCCCAGGTATGGAGTCATAGCATGGGGGGTGCTAAGCCCAGCAGCGCTGGTGCCTGACTTGGGCCTGCTGTGCTAGGTGAGGCAGGTGCCAACATCATTGAAGTGTCCAAGGAGGCCCGAAAGCGGTTCTTAGGCCCTCTACACCCCTCCTTCAACCTGGTGAAGACCATCCGGGGCTGCCTGCTGAAGACCCTACCTGATGATTGCCATGAACGTGCCAGTGGGCGCCTGGGCATCTCCCTGACCCGGGTATCGGATGGCGAGAATGTCATCATTTCCCACTTCAACTCCAAGGATGAACTCATTCAGGTGGGCCCAGTGGGCCACACTGGGGGCACAGGATGACCCTAAAGTCCCGCTCACCTGTCCCTCTGTCGTGCCTTGCAGGCCAATGTCTGCAGCACCTTCATCCCTGTGTACTGTGGCCTCATCCCTCCCTCCCTCCAAGGGGTGGTGAGTAATCCTGCCCCACTCTGCCCCAGCACCTTCTGGGGGGGTGTGTGGGGAGTCAGCTGCTGTCTTGGGGGACCCAGAGTGGAGGGCCTGGGCCTTGCCCTGCCCCCCACCGTCTGTTGCCTCAAGCACTTCCTGTTACTCAAGAGGCAGGCAGGAAGGCCAGTGGCCCTGGAGAGATGTGTACTTCCTGGGGTTGCTCCCCCAGATGTCTGGCCATCTGCTTGGTTCCCAGGCTGGCCAGTGGCCATTGCCTAGTGGGTGAAAGGACCAAATGAAACAGCTACGGGGGTGGGGGAGGAGGAGGGCAAGCAGCATGCCCCTCACTGTACGACTGTGTGTCCCTGCAAAGCGCTATGTGGACGGCGGCATTTCAGACAACCTGCCGCTCTATGAGCTTAAGAACACCATCACTGTGTCCCCTTTCTCGGGCGAGAGTGACATCTGTCCCCAGGACAGCTCCACCAACATCCACGAACTGCGGGTCACCAACACCAGCATCCAGTTCAACCTGCGCAACCTCTACCGCCTCTCCAAGGCCCTCTTCCCACCAGAGCCCATGGTGAGGTGCTGGCGTCTGTGGCTTGGTTAGCCTGTACCTGCAGAGCAAAGGGGAGGAGGTGCCCAGGGCGGGCAAGGGTACTGTGGCCTCTTCAGAGCCCTGGGCAGTGCTATGGTCTGCATACCTCTCCAGGAGGCAGCGTGGCAGGTCTCTTCCATTCATATCTTATGCTGGGTCCGGTACAGTTTAGTGGTGGTTGGTCACAGGGTGGGATCGGAGACAGGGTTGCAGGGTCTCTAGGGGACAGAGCAGGCCATATCTGAGTCCCTCTGCTGCAGGTGCTGAGAGAGATGTGCAAACAGGGCTACCGGGACAGCCTACGCTTCCTGAGGCGGAACGGTATGTGCGGTGCGCCTGTTCCAGTGGGCGGAGGCTCTGCACTGCCCCCTGCGGGCCGGCCTTGGCCGCTTCGAGCTCATCGCTGGTCTGTCGCCCCACCCCTACCCAGGCCTCCTGAACAGGCCCAACCCCCTGCTGGCCTTGCCCCCAACCCAGGGACCTGGAGAGGAGGACACGGAGGAGGCCAGCGTGGTCGTGGAAAGGAGCGGCACTGAGGAGCGGCTGCTGCCGCCCAGTGAAGACCACATCCTGGAGCACCTGCCCTCGCGGCTCAATGAGGGTTCGTGGGGAGGGAGGAAGGGCAGGGAGGCTGGCACACAGGTACTGGGTGACTCTGGTCTGGCCCCGCTTTCTGACCGACCCCAGTCTTCTCTGCAGCCCTGCTGGAGGCCTGCGTGGAGCCCAGAGACTTGATGACCACATTGTCCAACATGCTGCCTGTGCGGCTGGCCACGGCCATGATGGTGCCCTACACCCTGCCACTGGAGAGTGCCGTGTCTTTCACCATCCGGTGCGCAGCAGAATGGGGTAGGGGAGGAGGTGCCGAGGACAGCAGACTGGGGTCATCGTGGGCAGTGGTGACCCCAGGAGCCCCGGGGGATCTGGCTGCAGCACGGACCCTCACCTCTCCCCAGCCTGCTGGAGTGGTTGCCTGACGTGCCTGAGGACATCCGGTGGATGAAGGAACAGACGGGCAGTATTTGCCAGTACCTGGTGATGCGCGCCAAGAGGAAGCTGGGTAGTCACCTGCCCTCCAGGTGAGCCGCCTGACTGCCTTATTCCTCCTGCTCAGGGCCTCAGGGACCCCACTGAAGCCCCACCCCCTCCTTCCTGCAGGATGTCTGAGCCCACAGAGCTGCGCCGCGCTCGGTCATTACCCTCCGTGCCGCTGTCCTGTGCCAGCTACCGGGAGGCGCTGCCCAGCTGGGTTCGCAGCAACCTCTCCTTGGGTGATGTGCTGGCCAAGTGGGAGGAGTGCCAGCGCCAATTGCTGCTGGGTCTCTTTTGTACCAACGTGGCCTTCCCGCCGGATGCCCTGCGCATGCGCGTACCCGTGGCCCCAACGCCTGCAGACCCCACGGCCGTCAACCCCACACTCCCCCAGCACCCACCAGGCCTGCCCCCTTGCTGAGCACCCCCACCTGCTCTTCTGGGCCCCAGTCCAGGAGTTGGGCTGCACCGGATTCCACCCCACTGCCTCTCCAGTTACCTACTGCGAAGTGAGGACTGGGAACCTTCACGCTGCAAACAGGGGGCTCTGCCGTGTACCCCCAGCCACGCACTTGCTGTTTTCGGTGGGGAGCTCGAGTTATTTATGCCTTAGTCCTCTCGCTGCCCGGCCCCTCCTGGTGCAAGTTTCTCCTGAGAACCTCACACCTGCACCACCCTCCTGTTTTTCTTGTTTTGCTGAACAATGTATGAAGAATTATTTATTTTCGCCAGAATATATGTAATAAAATGCCACAGTTCAACCTTTGTCTCTTTTACTTTTGGCGGGGCAGTACTAGGGATTGAATGTAGGGCCTTCAAGATGAGCTATATTTTTTTCCTTCTTTTGGAGGCAGGGTCTTGCTACATTCCTGTTTACCTAGGCTGGGCTTGAACTTGTGATTTCCCTGTATTGGCCTCCCCTCCCAGAGTGCCGGGATGGCAGGTATGCAGGCACCACCATGCTCAGGTTGCCTTTTTCATGTTTGTGTGACTGCCCTGCTTTGCTTGGGGGTATGGTGTTCAGAGCCTGCTCCTCCCAGCCGGCCAGTGTCTCTGCAGCTACCTATCAGCTGTGCTAGGGTCATACTTCTGGGCCTGGAATCTGGGGGTTGCCAGCTCAGCTGGGCTCAGGTCTTCTTTGTGCCCGCTGCTTGATGAAGACACATCTATTTGCCCCCCACTTTGCCCTGAGGCCAGCTGGCTGACTCTTGTGCACAACTTTCCAAGGGCCAAAAGAAATATTTGGGAAAAAGAAGTAGTGTTTACAAAAGGTGTCACCACACAGTGACACAGCGGGCGTGGGTACACTTCAGGGCTGGACACTGGAGGGGCCTCCTGCAGCTGAAGCCTGGGGACTTGGGAGTGTCTATCCCATGTCACTGTGGCCATTGCACAAAGTTCAGTGCTTGCTCTTCGTGTCCCAGGCTCCAGCGGGTGGGGGCATTCCTGTCCCCATGTGCCTGGTGGTGTCTGCTACCAGAACCTAGGAGTGGTGAGGGATCTGCAGGACCGAGGAAGGGGGTGCTACCCAAGGGGAGTATGCCTGTCCCAGGAGATGGTTTCCTGGTGTCCTTTGCCAGGAGGAGACAGTTGGAGTGGTAAGGAGCCATGTGCTGGTGCCCAGCCACAGGTTCAGCCCTGCCTGCTCCTCCCAGAAGGTGTGGGGTGCTGTGGTGGCACCCCCAGCCAACAATAACGGTTGTAGGAGCTGGGACAGAAGGACTGGATGAGCCGGCCAGGCAGGTCCAGCCCTGGTGGAAGTTTCCCGTCTCTAGGTCCTGTCCTATAGGCCCAGTCTGTTGTGGTTCGGCCTGAGAAGCAGAGGCAACACTGGCACCAGGGTTGGTGCTGGCGGGAAGCACAGGCCAGTGTTCAGGTGAGTTTGGGTGTGGGCTGGGTAGAGGAGGGGATCCCCGGGAAGTGGGAGGGATCCCCATCCCAGCAGGAGTGCTCCTAGCTGTGCCCCCAAAGGGAGTGCTGAGAGCCTCCAAGGTGACCTCCCTGGTTCACTAGATTCCTGTCACACAGGGGCTTAGTACAAAGGCCACTTTCTAGTACAAGATTTTATTGTTGAGAAATTAGAAAAAACAGGGCTGGGGATTTAGCTCAGTGGTTCCACCACCTGCCTTGCAAACACAAGGACCTTGGATCCCCAGTACCAAAAAAAAAAAAAAAAAAAAAAA